ACAGGAAGTTGTTCCCTCGCAAGAGAGGACAGAAGGAAGGAAAAGACAGGGATGAGAAAAGCTTGCATGGCATACGCGTCTTACAGGGGTACAGACATATGCTACTGACGCCTTCATGTATGAGCACATCCCGCACCAAGTGCGGCCATCAACTGCTATTTCCAACACTCTTGCTCTAGCTTGGTACGAGTGATCTTTTGTGACTGTCCGAGCGGGTATCATAGTTTCTTAAGGTAGATGCAGTCTCTTTTTTTGCCGAGCGCTTCTCATGCAAAGTTGGGTAGTCTACCGTGGGACCAGATATTCCGGAAAAGGGTTTGTATTCTACAACAGTGGGAAGAAGTGCTCCGAGGATGCCTCCAGAATGTGTAAACGGCGGCCAGGTTCCCCACTGGGGAAACTAATTTAGTAATGCAACCGTAGCAACAGAGAATGACACCGCACTGACCAGTGCCAGCAATATATATCAAAAAAGAACCGTCCCTATCCCCACAGATCCAAGAGCGAGATAGAGGACTTTTTGTGTAACACTGGAATATTACTTAAACAGGTGTGGCATTTCCCGTAGCCGATTCGGCGGTTACAGGTAGCGCGCTAGTGGGCAAAGCTGAGAAGAGATTGAATGTACTTAGGGGTACGGCCCTAGCTACTTGTATGAACGGGGTTCCACAAGAAAACCCCGCTTTTCTTGAGCCTCCGGGAACCCTAGTCGCCGACTGACACCATCATCCCCCATCCACAATACCCCAAGCAGAAATAAACACAAAATGTCGCAACGATTCAGTAATAATACCAACTCTTGGAACACAACCGTTACGAACAACTTTACCGTCACCGATGACCGATCTGATATCCTAGCCTGGCTATCCCCTCTAGATCCCAGGCTACGGCATAAGGACATCCGAGACCGCCGAGTCGAAAATGTGGGGGGATGGCTCTTAGAGACTGAGGAATTCAGGAGATGGTACGATGGTAGTGGGGAAGGTGAATCCGATAACGCAGTTTTGTTTTGCTATGGGGATCCGGGTGTCGGAAAAACCTATATCAGGTAACAAAGACAAGCCACAAGCGATGGAAGGAAAAGAAAAAGTGCTGACAAGCCGCGATATTAGCTCGTTAGTGATAGACAGTTTGTGTGATCAAGCTGGAGAAAATTCCACCATTGCATGTTTTTACTTCGACTTTGCCTCCCAAAAGGAGCAATCCCCTACAAGCATTCTGGGCGCGCTGCTGAAACAGTTGGTTTCCGGACTGGAGGAGATCCCGGAGGAGATATCACGAGCATACCGAGACCAAAAAACTTCCATCGGTGGCCGGGAGCCTGGGCTTGGGGACATTGTGAAGATGCTGCAGACTACCTCTTCCAAAAAGCGCACGTTCGTATGCATCGATGCTCTAGATGAGTGTGTTGCAGGTGATCGTGTCAAGATCCTTAATTCGCTAAATGAAATGCTCCAAAAGGCCCCCGGTACCCAGATACTCGTGACCGGAAGACCGCACATTCGACCAGAGATTAGAAGACGTCTTTCCGGAAACCTAACCAGTGTACCCATAAGTCCAAAGAGAGATGATATCATTGCATATCTTCATACTAAGTTGGACGAGGATACAACGCCAGATGCGATGGATAGCAGTCTGGAGGCAGATATCCTGAAGAAAATCCCACAGGATATTTCCGAAATGTACGTAGAAGCAGCGACGCTAGGGGAGTTGTGTCGAGATACCCACTGACAGAAACATATTCAGATTCCTTCTTGTCTCACTGAACATCGATGCGATCCTTCAAGAAACCACCATCCATCGCCGCCGACAAAAGCTCAACGCAATGACCGATGGCTTGGGCTTGGGGGACGTTTATGGTGCAACACTAGACCGGATAAAGGGACAGGGTGGGGAGAAAGCGAGCCTCGGAATGGCCGCACTGATGTGGATCTCCCACTCGGAGCGGCCCTTGAAGCCCGACGAACTGTGTCACGCTTTAGCAGTCGAAATAGGGTCGGCGAATCTCAATAGCGACAATGTTCCCTCAATAGCGACATTGCTAGCCTGTGGTCAAGGACTTTTTACTGTAGACAAAGAGGCTTCCACGGTCCGGCTAATCCACTTTACTCTACAAGAGTACCTCCGCCGCCGTCCCGGGCTTTTCGGCGCAACCCACGCAACAATAGCAGAAACCTGCTTAAGCTATCTGAATTCCCACCAAGTGAGGGCTCTCTCCACCAGTCCCTCCCCCAACCTCCAAGACTTGCCTTTCCTCGACTATTCTTCCCTATATTGGGGAGCGCACGCGAGGAGAGACATTTCATACCGCGCGAAATCGCTTGCGCTGAAGCTATTTGACGATTACATTAATCATGCATCAATCAAAATCCTCCTGGGAGGGCAGGAATGGGATTTTTGGGTTGTTGACTACAATAAACTTCCGCTATTCAGCGGTCTGCACTGTGCATCCCTCTTCGGGATTGTCGAGATTGTATCTTATTTAGTAGAGATGGAAGGCTGTGATATCAACCAAAACGACTACGCGGGTAATACACCTCTCATGTGGGCTAGTCGCAATGGGCACGAGGAAGTGGTTAAAATATTACTCGGACGTGACGACATCAACCCTGAGCAACCAGATAACCGCGGTCGAACACCGCTCTGGTGTGCGGCTTTCTGTGGACAGGTGAGAGCAGTGAAAACCCTACTTGGGCGGGGTGACGTCAGCCCTGATAAACCAGGTGAGTACGGCATAACACCGCTCTGCCGTGCCGCCATTTCTGGGCACGAAAAAGTGGTGAAAATACTACTCGAACGCGACGACGTCAACCCCGATAAACCAGATGACGACGGCCAAACACCGCTCTACTGGGCTGCTTGGGGCGGGCACGAGAGTGTGGTGAGAGTACTGCTAGGACGGGATGACGTTAGCCCTGACAGACCAGATAATGGGGGCCGCACGCCACTCTGGTGGGCTGCTTGGAGCGGGCACGAGAGTGTGGTGAGAGTACTGCTCGCACGGGACGACCTTAGCCCTGACAGACCAGATAATGGGGGCCGCACGCCACTCTGGTGGGCTGCTCACAAAGGGCACGAGGGAGTGGTGAGGATACTGCTCGCACGAGACGACGTTATCCCTAACCAGAGGAATGGTTTTGGCTCTACACCACTCCGGGCTGCTACTCATGGTGGCCATGCGGGAGTAGTAGCGCTACTACAACCCCAAGCATCTGCCACCCCCAGCTCGACCTAATGCCGAAGACACATCGTCCTCCTTGCCGCTACCACCTTCGAATGCCGACCATGCGCCATTTCCGCTAGTTCCGTAACAACTTCATAAACACATCTATCGCCACTCCTGCGTCCTCCCGGAGTTGGGAACACCGGCTTTAGTAATTCGCGTCTCCGCTTTCCTTCCGGCGTAGCTTATGTCTACCACAAAGTTCATCTCGACAGCTCCTTCCGATCGAAGGAAATCATGTGTTGCGAATGCCCCGCATTCACCACATACCCAGCCAAATCCCTACCATATACGGATTCGCTGTCTATCCCAGTCAAGATTTCTCAGTCCTGACCATAATGTAGAGTGTTGCTCCGGTGGTGGAGTATTTCTATTTTACCAAGATAAGAGTGGGTGCGGCCCGAGATTTTTATCATATTTACCCTTGCACATGTTTCCCAGTCGTAAATACTCATTGCGCATTTCATGTTTATTATTTTTATATCTACCTCTAATCCCTTTCCTCCCATTTCCTCACCACCGAAGTGTAGACTCGGGGGTTGTTTATATACTATAGAACCAAAAATATGAACAGCAAGTACCGTATCCTCGCTACTCATGAAAAGTAACGCTAAAGCACTTCAACCAGACTATCTGTAATACGGCAAATTCCCACCACGAACACGGTTGGGAAAAAAAAGCCACGCTTGCACGCTACTATCCTCCCAGTACCAGCCCAAGGGTGAGAATAGAGCGCTATCAACACTTTTATTCCCATCATGGAAAATCGCCACAATATCAAGTCTCAACCGCGATCTCAACCCCCCATTTCCACGACTACCCTCCCTGCACTGCACAGCACTGTACAGTACCCACACAAACCCGAAAACCCCCAATACGCAGCACAACCCTTCAGGCACGGCCTTAACCAACATCACCGACCGACACGACACAGTTCTGCAGAGTTGGACGGACCACAGCGTACGGTAAACTCCCAGTATCATAGAACCCCCCCTCCAGTCAACCCGGCCAGCAGTGTGCTCATCAACTCTGATAGAGGCCATCTCTCTTCCCCCCAAGCAAGGTACGCCATGTGCATAATCATAGTGAACCCCCACCCACTCTTGCATCTCGCTTGCAACCTAAAGTCTTTTCTCCCTTTTTTCTTAATACCCCCCGCTAACACTGTCCAGTAAGTCTACGATAAGTTTTCCATAATCTATCATAGGTATTATATTACATGCTACCCGGACTTACAGTACTGTACTCCTCCTGTCGGAATTATCCTTTTTGTGCTACACGGTAGTGGGAGATCTTAGGTGGTCAGTGATATAGCGTAAGCACGGGAAGTTGGTTCTTGGATCGGTATGATATCATATAATATTGCATAAGCGGTGGGGCATACAAGTATCCCTAGCTTTTAAATAATATCATAAATTGTCAAGTGGCTGTTGTAGCTCTTGCTCTAGCTAGGTACGAGTGATTTTTTGTGACTGCCCGAGCGGGTATCATAGTTTCTTAAGGTAGACGCAGTCTCTTTTTTTGCCGAGCGCTTCTCATGCAAGGCTGGGTAGTCTACCGTGGGACCAGATATTCCGGAAAGGGGTTTGTATTCTACAACAGTGGGAAGAAGTGCTCCGAGGATGCCTCCAGAATGTGTAAACGCGTTAATTAATCTAAGCGGAAATGACATAAAGTTTATCTCACCAGTTCTCCATTCCGGGTGTGTTAAATCCCTACTCGCCCCTATTATACTTCAGAGAAGCCTCCCTAGTGACGCTAGACCAAATTAACCCCATCACCCCCCACCTCCCCCACCACCACCACCACCACAGCCGCCACCACCTCCACCTCCACCTCCACAGCCACCTCCAGCTCCACCCCCACCGCCCCCGGCGCACCCACCTCCCCCACCCCCATCCGAATTTCCACACGACCCGGCTGCAACCCCTCCACCGCACGTCCCACTAGCACAATTCCCTGCTTCACCGCTTCCAATACTAAAACATGATGGATCAACCGCGTAATTATCCCTTAAAAGTTGCTGAATAAATATATCCACGAAAGGGCCCATGTCAAAATTGTTGGGCTCCTCGTCGTTACCTGACTTTTTCTGGTTGCGTTTGTGTTCGGCAATCATCTCCTGGTAGAAGGCTTTCCGCCGCGCCTGCGGGTACTTGTCCGGGACTTGGACCACCGAGTGGGCGGATACGTGTGCCTTCGGGTCCGGAGTGTCGGGAGCCGGAAGGGGCTTTGAGGAGAAGTAACGCTTCATTGTGGATTGGCAGCGAGAGCGTGTCGCTTCGCAGTACCAGCATGTGCCTGGTCGCCTCAGCCAAGTTATTTATAACAGTAGGGTAGGTTAAAGGGGGGATGCGTACATTCACTATAAGGTTGCCCGTAAAGCTTTTGGTACTTCTGGCAAGTCCACGTGTACGCTTCCCCGAGCTTTGCCTCATCAATCTTATCGTCGTGCCCAATAAACTTTCCCGTAATAGCCACACTATACTTCCAATAACTCGAGGGATTTCCCATGAGTGTGTGCCACACCAGGTCCACATTTAACGTCGGAACCACACAGCGGTCAGGATAGTTCTTGATCATGTCCATGAATCTCTCAAACTTTTTCACCGCTGCTTCAATAGTATCCACGATGGCAGGTGAGTGCAGCCAGTCGATCTCAGCCATTTTCTGCACAAATGCGCCCTGCCGAATCACCGCTCCTACGAGATGGATGGAGAAGGTGGAGGGATTGCTCCAGAACCTGGACATCATCCTCCGGAAGGAGATTTTGCCCTCGCGGTCAAGATAGCGATATGGTACGACGCGGGATTTAAGAAATTTACGATTCTTCAAGGAGCGGTTCATCTCCAGCTTTATATCGTTGAGGTCAGCCGTTCGAGGGTTCGACCCGCATGTCCGTAGGGAGTTCTGAATGTATATACAGAACTGGTTCGGGAACATCCAGGTCTTATCGGGGACCATGACTTCAGCATTTGGTTTTCCGTCTATATCCAGAACCGTTCCTGGAAGTGGCGTTCCAGCTGGAGATGTTAAGCGGTTCAGGGCTTGCAAAAACTTTGCTCGGGAAAGGGTGTCTATGTTTATGACCGCCCGGCAGGTGCTGTTTGGACAGGTTTGAGAGAATTTGGAGTCAGCGTAGCCAGTGCTGTCTCTGCTGTCCGTCATTGGAATTCGAATGAGGTTCGAGCATAGTGGGCAGCTGACCGAGAAGCTGTCTGGGCAGTCGAGGTTTTCCACGCTGAGATTAGTGTTCGTTTGGAAATTATTTATGGCGGTGATTGGGAGGTTGTAGTCGAAGTTGTCGCTAATTAGGAAGTCCTGGCAATATCTTGTTAGTTGTTGGAATTTTTAGCCCTAGAGGGGGGACCCACAATCATGCTCCATGGCAAACCCGTCCTCCAGAAACCAAGTTTTCCGACCCGGTAACAATCTTCCAAGAAACACCTCGGGTTCAGGATGAATGCGTGCCACACCATCAACACATCTGAAAAAGTTAGCCACATCATCCCAACTTTGGCGAAAAAGGTGAAAGCATACCCAACGGTGGCATGGCCTCAACACCAAACACCATACTCGAATCCAAAGCCTTATCAAACTCCTCCGCTTTCCGCACAGCATTATGAGCCGTTATCTCCTCCTCGAACTTGGAATTGCGAAGTGTATGCCACCACCGGGTGAACCTCTCCACCGCCCTCACAACGTATACTTGCCATCGCTTCTCCCCGACACGTGCCTGCTCTTTCTTTGTTTCCTCATCGGTAACGGCAACGTCCGGATATCCGAATAGATTATCCCTCGCCGATATCTGTAAGCGGAGTTTGTGGAAACATGCCAGGAGCTTTAGATGAATGATGCATTGGTCCGTGGTGGGCAGGTAGGAGGAAGGATCTTTCTCCCCCTGTCCGTGGAGGCTTGCAAAGGGCGGGTTTCCGTGATTATAAGACATTGCAGCCCGTCCGTGTTCGCACTATCATATACCGAGGAAGGAAGGAAAAAAGGAAGAAATCCCCAGAGTCTTTATACTCCGCTCAGTACCTCACCATGAAATACCGTTTATGTAAGCAATAATCCCACGATACCTCAATGAAGCCGCAGCTAGCAATGGTCAGACGTAAGGCATACTTGGAAATTGTATTGCGTAAGCTCCAACTTCTAACCCAGCAGCTATCATAGGTGAGGCTCAGCAAGCTCCAGCCCCTGCAAATCTACCCGCATGCGATACCAAAAATAGACAACTCTTTAAAGAGGATGCAGTACCGGCACCTAAAAGACTACCGTATGACGAAGTAACGACAATTCCATGCCACCATACTAAAGCCAATGAAGGAAAAAAACATGTCCTTCACACCCGTACCGTAGCACACACACACCCTCTGCTTCACTGAGCCCCAAAAGGCTTGGCAAGGCTGATTCGCTTACCGGTACCGCACGAGCACCGCACAGTCGTTCTACCGCACCGTGTGAACCCGGTAGTCTATGCACGAAATGGCTGATGGTTCTGGGGGTAGACATCGACGAAACAGCTGTAGGCGATTCCACCTTGAGATTTCCGCCTCCTTGCAGTCAGCTCCCACCCCTGCTCAGTCTGGGCAAGGCGGTATTTCCGGAGATCAGTATTTATCACCCGCGCTACCGAGGGAGAGGGTTTGTAGCAGTGCACCATTGCCCGTATCGCAGCAGAATAGCAAGAATACGCTATTCGGTGAAAAGACGGCTTTAAAGAAAATGGACCAGCTATTTAATCAATGTCCCATCCTCTCCGCACACAAACGGAGCCAAAAAAAAAAAAGTAAATGACGGGCAAACCTTTTGGGAGCACAAACCCCCACACCAACACCTGTACTACGGTGTTATCGGGATATCAGTGGCGCCGATGGCGGGCGTTGTAATATACGAGTACGAGTACTGGAATGATCTGGGCATTGGGGGAAATCGGTGCCGTATCGGTAAGTTCGCCCGGGCGGAGTACGATGGCGTACGATAAGAGCGGGAGCGGTCGTAGAAACTAGGAACGTGCATAAAGCTTACCGTTACACGAGGGATAAAACGGTTGTGGCTTAATGCTAAAAAAGCCAACTGACCAAAGTGCCGGCACATTAGCGCACTTGTACTCGAGTACCGTTATTCATACCGGACCACAAGTGCAAAGGGATGTACTACCGGTAGCACCGGTACTCGTACATTACAGGTACTGTACCACAACTAAAACACACCAGGGCCCTGCAGCGTATGATCACTCGGGACCTGCCTCCGATTCCCGGCAACGCCTTGGCAGCCCCCACCTCGATATGCCAAATGTCGCTCTTTAAAGAACCAGCCGGTGTCGAAACGATTGCCGCAAGCGCACTGCAAGTTAGAACTTCAGTGGGAAGGTGAGTTACCGCGCCAGCAAGGACCTATCCGATCGAGCACAGAGGGAACTACCCTCCGCCAGCGTCCCCAGAGAGTAAGACAGTAAATCATCAGGGAATTTGGGTTCCTCCGAGTATAAGATACGCCTCCGACCCTCTCACTCTGGGCTTGCCTGCCTGCGCCCATTCCTCTCTCCCCAATCAACAGCCGCATTAGTTGAAACGGAACTATGATTATCCTTCACAAACACATCTGGAAAGAACAAACGGATGAAAAGGGGACGGGCGGTCCCTGAAATCGCGTCAGAGGTACGTCGGAAAGTCGGATGGGCCGTTCGGACTGTGAAATGCGCAGAATAGTTCCAAGGTTCGTGGTGTGTGTTACCAAAAGTTGATTAGGAACTGCACGTCCCGATGATCTGTGTTAGCTGTTTCCCGGTGGGTGTGGCGATTTCAGACATGTCTGGGGCTACGAAATACAAGCTATCATAGGGAGGTTACTTTAGAAAACTCTGCGGATGAGAGAGATCATAAATAGCCCCAAGCCCTTCCCATTTCTCATACCGATTGCCATTAGCAAGTCAGAACCCAAAGGTGAAGGGCGAGGGTAACCCCCTCCCTGGAGATGCTTGGAGCAATCAGTAGCAACGAAAAATCGGTATATAATAAATGATTTATTATACGTATGATAGTTGTATCCTCAGAGACTATCATCCAAGTGGTTATTTAATAATCTTTTTTTTAGAGAAACTCCCTTGCGCTCTTGAGTTGCGGCTAGACCCCTCGAGAATGGATATGATGTTTGAACCTTAATTACTTCATCCATTGAACCTCTTTGTATTACTTCCAGAACTGATAATCGTCAGATCCAACCCCCCCATATATGATCTTCCTATGCACCGCTGGCAACCAATATTACCAATCGTGGTGGAATACCGGTATTAGGGGCCTAGACGTTGCATTCCAGGTAATAACTTTGGATAAGATGACCACCGGTAGCGGTACTGTTACCCAACTACCCGTGACTACATCTACCACAGAAATCCCGCTTCAAGTAATTTCTATCACAATCATAGTGACCGTTACAGATTTGGGGGTATTCCGAGCACTGCCGCCACCCCCAGTCCTGAGCTTTTCTTCTATCGATTACCGCACTGGGCTAGTGGCTTAGATTGACGATCGGACCGGGAGTGTTAGCAGCTCAGGATACTCGAGTAGAGGGGAGATTATCATACGTCTCTCCTGTCCAAGTACGAGTACGAGTACTGCATAGCACAACATCGGTATGGATACCAGGCCCCACGACCATCCCTTCCACCTGCTAACCAAGTCATGGCATTCTTCTATTCAATCATTTTCTCTGCAGTTGAGATACTTTTCTCTCTTTACTCTCGCCTTTTTTTTCTCTTCTTAATCAACATCCTGCTTATGATACCCCCCATGGGTCAGAGATGCCTATTCACCACAAACATTTTGGCAACTCAAGCCGTGTAGTCAAAAAAAAAAGCCAGATCGCGGCTCAGATAGGGTGTCAAGAGCGTAATTGCGCAAGCATGCCTTCTCCGAGATCTCGTATTACCCATCGAGCTCATCTCAGCAGCTGTCTTGAAGCCGGAGGATCTGCCCGTACTGTACTGTACTACAGTATGACACCGGTAATGCCGGCAGCGGGGTCCGCGTTACACAATAACCTAACCATGATATCACATCCCACACCGCCCCCCTCTCTCGTTCCAACACCGCACGATCTTCCGCACCGCCCTCCATACCACACCACCACAGTAACCGGCGGCCCAATTCGCCCATCTAAACATGTCATTCCTGCAGATCTCGAATCACCTGTGCCCACACTTGAGCCATCTTTACCAAAAGGGCAACCACCCGTGAGACGTGTTATCACTCGATATCACCCTCCCTCCCCTTTCCCAACTCTAAGAAGTACACCAAAAACACTCCTCTCTCCGGGCTTCCCCGGAGAGGCGGGTCTTGAAGTGAGAGGGTGGAACAACCAAATACCGTTGCATCTCGCGGTGCAAAACCGGCGTCTGAGTTTGGTGCGGGAACTAGTAGCACACAGTGCCCCCCAGGGCGGTAATTAGCGGGTAGGAAGGTCGGGGGGGGGGGGGGGTGGACCGTGCTGGCCCCTGCTGTGGATGAAAAAGACCGATAGGATTATTTCTAAGTGCTAATAGAGGGCGAGAGGGCTCTACCCGTAGTCAATGTTCAGGGCAGTGGTGAGCGTGGGACTTGCACCCTGCTGCTCGAGATTACGGTGCCGAGATTGCGCCGGGGTTGTTGTGGATAAGAAACTTGATGTTAATTCTACTCGTATTATAGGAGATATTGTAAATTTACGTTAGCATAAATAACCGAAAATCGCAACGCTCCCAACATCTGAATCGAATCAACAAATGTTATTTACCTAATATAAAAAGAAATGAAAAATAATAAGAATAATGAAAATCGAGAGAAGTGCTACTGAGTAACTTAAGCTAAAGTCTGCTCTATATATTTCATGAAAATTTCCTCACATCTACCATGTTTAGAGTGATCAAAATACCCAAACGATTGGGAATCTCAATATATTTATATTCACCTTCCCCCTCTCCGCCCAATTTCTAAATTTCTGATATGGTTAGATAGAGGAGATCATGATGCTCCTTTTATCTCATAATCACAGTAATACTAGACCTTTTGCAATGGGTTATGGATCGAAGTAGAATATTGCGGGGAAAACATTTATTCTTGAAATTATCCCTCTTAATATGTCTATATTAGAACCTTCATTTGCTATTAGAACCCCTTAAATAAGAATTATTCAAATGATACATGTTCATAACCGTGCCATGACATTTTCTGAATCTTGTTAATGGGCTTGGTTATGTTGTTTAACACTGTTGAGAGAGACCCATTATTATTGGAGGCTTTAGGTTTGGGTTGCGAATGTTCGGGTATTTATGCGAACGTACAATATATATACCCGCTGCATAAATTAACACAAGTATCATATCGAATTGATACTAACTTGTCAAAAATTTGCCGCTCCCCTGCACCCTGTCGTCAATGTTAATGTACGATTGGTCGTACAGTACCGGGAAAGTTAGCTCTGTTGTGCCATGCGGGCATGTATGGAGCTAAGTTAGATCTGTTGCGCGGTTATTAGAGGATAGTAGGGTCGGCGCCAGCCAGCGTAGGTGGAACAACGTGATGGCCGTACACTTCCCCGCTATCAAAGTGCGCCCCATTACCACAAAGAGATTATTGGACCATCATCCAAGCATGAACATCAACTTGCATGATAATACAGGAACAAACGCCCTCCGCCCCCCAGTGCTGCTTCTGCCCAGCAGCGATATGCCACAAAACTTCGACCAGGATACCACGCGTAGCGCTGGTAAAACCTGGCAAACAACAACGGCAGCACACCGCTGCACCACTACACGGTGACAGAAATCTGCATCCGGACATCACCCTAGAAGACGGCAGTCGACGGGAACAAAACCGATCAGCGCGGCGACAAGAGTGATATGTATCATACAACGAAACAATATATCATACCTCCACATAAACTACGAAGGAGCTGACATAAACAAATTCGACAGCACCCCCACCTGCAGGCACGCAGCCAAACACTCACACCAAATCGCAATCCAAAAGCAGCTGTAAATCCCAAAACCTCAAGGACGAGGACAGGCAAACCCCACCATCGGGGCGGGAGATCAACCGACTATCACACCTTCTTCAAAAAGAAAAAAAAAATCGACAGAGCAGCTACCAACGGCAATGGATGAACGGTCGCGCACGTAACCGCATAACCACCATAAACGGTTACTGTACTCACGAAGTCCTACCGTATCATACATCCTCTCCCGATGGGCCTGGATCCCGGTGTTAATCTAGGAATGGGACGATGAGTGCTTCCCATCCGGACACGCCGCAAAGAGTTGGTATGATACCAGAGTTGCATGCGGCGAGATGGCACTCATAGAGCACCATACGCCGGCACAAATTATACCGCGGTTGAGAGTGTAGGTGGAAGTGTTAAGGGCCAGGATGGGCTTCGAAAAAGAACGAGGGCATAGGATTTACAAGAAGCACCTCGCAGGGGCCTCCCCCCACCCCCACACCCGGGACCTAACACAAACTTCCCGCATGTGCTGCACAATCCGGGATTTACCCGGCAAACCCCCACACACTGGAGCAGAGCGACGTCCTCTTCACTACAAGGTTTTAACAATTAATCCTTCATGATGGTCCTTTCGCCTGGCCCGATATCCCGGACACTCGATGGACACATGGGGAGAAAAGGCTGTATAAAAATTATTGCGCCCCGCCTACCAGGTAGGGAGATATTGTACCGCAAACCCAAACGAGTGAGAGATCTCATCCCCCCCGGCGCCATTCAAGCCTCACATTACCTCGGACTAACCGCCAACCACTCCAGCATTCAACCCACAATTCACAAGAATTATATATATTACCGGACGGGTATCCCCCGCCCCATCTATCTGTCATTTCCGGTAAAACCTACTGTACACGCCAAAAGAAGAGAAAATAAAAAATAAAATAAAGGGGGGGAAAAAGATAAAACAACCAACATCTAAATTGCTGCCCTGGACGGGAGGGTATGGTATTTCAAGCTTCTTCCAAACGCCTGGCAGCTTCTCCGCCAAACGGGCCTTTGCCATCCTCCACGTGAAAGAAGCTAACGCCGCATTCCTTCCTACGTCCGAGAAGGTACCAGACTGAGCTTCCCCAGCACATGAGCACACCGACCCAGCTCCATGTTGGCATAGAGCCGTGCATGAGGAGGGCTTGAAAGGCTGTCCTGGGGTAGGTTGACACTACCATTGTTAGCGGTGTTGTTGCCTATCCGATTGTTAGCTTATAGCTAGTGCAAGGGGGCGGGATGGTGAGGGAGGACGCACCCGAAGCAACAAAAACCCACTAACAAATGTGGCCCATGCTCCCATACCACTGAACAGTCCCATCAGCCAGAACCAGGGAAGGTCAAGGATGTAGCAGTTGCGACTAATGTCACCAAATTCTCCGCTAAGAAATACCCAGGGCAGGATCATAGCTATGCTGAGCACATTCACGTAATGCAGTAACTTCCATGCGGATCTAGTCTCTTCCCCACCATCGGTGGAGAACATCCCATCTGTTGGGCCTACGCCTAAGAGGTCACCCGAGCCGGTGGTATTAGGGTTTCCATGGAGAAGTGACTTGTATGCCTTGGTGAGGAGGATCGGGTATGCTGCTACGAATATTGTTGAGAAAAGGCCGGCTAGGAAGCCCTCAATTGCGAAGCGCGTGCCGGGGCGGAGGACTGCCATTGCTAGGGAGAGGACCATGGTTATGCAAGAGGACATGGTAGTTACGGAGAGGGAGCTGTTGGTTGTGAAGAGGTGGGTGAAGGCCATCGCTAAGAGGAGGGAACCGACGCGGGAGAGGTGGTAGATTGGTGGGTTTGTGTAGCTATTACTAATCAGTACACTGTGCGATATACTCATTGGTACTGGGAAACTTACGCAAAGCCAATATTGCTGAGGACAACTTTTAAGCTGTATATAATGGCGACAGGGAGGACCCTTCTGGCTTCAATCCATTTGAGCTCAAAGACGCCCCCCTCACGGTTTCCGGTAGTCAATTTCTTTGCAAAGTCTCGGAGGCCACCCCCCGAGGCTCGCCGTTTGCCTTTCGAGGGAGCGGGGAGCGGGGCTACCATGCTGCCTAGTCCAAGGGAGTAGAGCGAGCGAGAGAACGAGCGAGTTATCGAAGCGGCAAAATAAAGGAATATTTGTGTCATTATCAACTGGAAGAGCGTCGTGGTGATTGGATAGACAAATCTAGAGAGCCATCAGCTGCAACTCGACTTTAAGGAACGATCATAAATACTTATAAACACCGGCTATAAACGAATAGTCAGCAAGGCATTGCTTCGCCCGGAGGACATAGTGCAGGAGACTCACTAAGAAGCGTGAACCCATTAACCTTCGAAAGCGTGAACGCTGCGCCTCCGTAAAATGCCACTAGAAGCCCAATGTACATCATCCATCCCCGCTGTGTGTTCCACAACCACCATCCAAGCCTACCGTTTTGTGTCCACTTCGCGAACCCACGACTCTCCGGCTCACTCCCTCCCCCAATTCTCCACTCATGACAGCCGGCACCATTCCCTAGCCTATCCGGATCACCGCTATTTGGTAGAAGCGGGCTCGGCGTCCTACTCATCAAATTCCCCCCACCGCCCAGACCCTGGCCAGAGGCTCCTCCACGCATTGGTAGTAAGGGTATAGAATGAGGGCTCAATCCACTCCAAGGAGGAGACACACTCCGGTTCTGTGACTTGGGCAGGGAGCCATGGGACGCGGCGCTTGAAGGCCCATCCTCGTCATCGTCGGATTCCACGAGGAGGTTTGGTTGGCCTTGGTGCGAGGATACGGAACTTCCACCACTTCCACCGCTGCTCCGGTTCCGGGCTCGGGAATGGGAGAAGGGTGTGGTTGAGATGGAGGGAACGGATGATGATGCGAGGATCTCGTGAGGTTTTCGGAAGAAGCGACTTGCTGATGAGCGATTCATTAGGGGGCTCAGTGTGGTGTCGGCGGAGGATCGGTCTCGGAGGTGCCTTGCTTGCCGCGGCCAGGGGAAATGCAAGAATAAAGTCAATCGGAGAGCCAAGCGTTACTGGTCTTGGCAAGACGCGTGTTTTTGATGAGGCGCTGCATGGCGCTTGTACTCGAGTACTATTACAGTAGTACTTTACAAACTTGGCGACAAAAGAAATGAACACCCCCTAGTTTTCTATACAAAATGCCGATTTTCAATAGGTGCCTATGCATCACCACTACCCCAGAAAAATCTGGTGATTTTCTGGGCAATGCAATTTGACACCAAGACCCATGTAATTAAAAGCCATGTTACAGAAACTGCTATAAGGATATCAGGGTCCAGAGTTCTCAGTATCTACAGCCAAATCACTGCCAAGACAGGCAATTTGTATGGGAGTTCCACATTGCAACCATGTCAGCTGGCTTCACTTCTCCACTATCTGTATTGAGAAGAACAGAAAAAATTGGCAAATTTATATGTAAAATCCCTTGTGATTCCCTTCAATTCAATTACTGTTTGAGGAAGAAATTTTGTTTTGCAGCTTTGCAGTGGTTGGTCAAACTTGTGCATTTTGTATGGAAACCTTGGGGATGTTCATTTCTTTTGTCGCCAAGCTCATACCATACGGTTACTTGAGTACGGTACGGGAATTGTAACAATAATCTCCCCCTCCGAATACTACAGCAACACCTTCCTTCGTCTACAAGGATGATACCGGTATCGTGCCCCCGAGTAGAAACCCTAGCTAATATCGTCCTATCGAGGGAATCTCATGTGTACCCGATTGCTCCAAGTGCCCGCTGCATAAGAAACACATGCTATTCGAATTCCACATGAATCTCTAGCCTTGGAGCTCATGGCGCGGTCACTTCTTGCTCTTGAAAATTGGGTACACTGTTCCTTTTTCCGGCCCCTCTCTTCGATCTCAAACTAACTGCTGGGTGCCCACACCCCTTCTCCATCACTGCGATTCGTAGAACAGGGAGGCGGAAGAGTGAAAAATACTGCGCCGTATCTATAGAACTATTGTAGTCGTTCGGTCAAGTCTCCTATGGCATCAGCCTTCCTTTCAATGAATATGATACCGGTTGGGGGGTATCTCAGACCCCTGTCGCTCAAGAAAGCCAGGAGTACTAGTACTCGTACTGATAGGCACCCTCAAAGCTCCCAGTGCGCCATAAACTGAGTACCGTAAATTGAATACTGGGGAGGTTCAAAGCTCTCGGTGCACGGAAGGTACAGGTGTTTCGGTAAGTATATTTTTCGGAAAATACGGTACACAGCAAACCTCCTCGGGAGGAGGGATGCAGCATACCAGTACGAGTGCGGCCGATAGATATATTCGTTACGTGAGTCTGATAAGAAAGTTTCGGTGCAACTTTTGGCTGCGATTTGTCCTTACATAAGGCACGTGACGAATATATTTATCGGCCGCACTCGTACAAAGGTACTGCCATTTTCTTCAAGCAGGACACCTGTATTTGCGGGGTATATTGTGTACTTGGGCACTCGGTTCGCAACATACCGGCACTGAGAGCTTTGAACCTCCCTAATAAGGGTGTATGATGATACCTCTTTGAATGTCACGTGCACCCGTACTGTGCTGGCACTTGACAAAACGGCAAGAGTGGATTGTCCCGACACCCTCCAACCAAACAGCAACTCACGCAGAGCTGCTCGAGGAGACAACACCCAACACGAGGAAGCTAACCGTACTATCGTGGCTCGGGGGACCCTTTACAATGTTATCCTGCTGTGATTTGGGGGGTTGGAGAGAGAAAAAAAATGCGAAGCATAGACTATCTTCTGGTGCTGATTGGGAGTTCACTCACCTTTAGGGACAATCCACGCCACCTTTTCTTCTAGAATCCTACCGGTACGAGTATAGTGCGTGCCTGATCCATTGATAAAATAGTCACGTGGGTCTGATAAGAAAAGTTTGGTGAGCATTCTCGCTACAATGTCTTATCAGACCCACGTGACTATTTTATCAATCGGCTGCGCTAGTACTAGTACCGGTGTTGATAAGCACCGCCTAGCCATCTGGACCGCTCCCCACTTGATCCACCTCCATACACATCCACTTCTTGGTCTCATATCTTCATCAACTGCTCAGTATCCACGCCGGCCTCGTCCCCTGGCACAATAAGACTATACAGCGCTGCGGGGTCCGTCTGCCTTGATTGATGAGTGAGTTAACAATCCATCTTATTTTTGGCAATTCGACTGCTGGCCTCGATCACCCCGAACACCATCTGACCCGGGACAGAAGGGCAGAACGCTAGGTGCAGCCGGAAACTACTTCCTATTATCATAGCGACTCCATAGCGACTCGGGAGGTAATGTCTCGGGTCGTTCAGTCGCCGTTTTTGGCTTACCCCAGGCTCACGGTCGACTGCGGTCCATCACAGGTTACCATGTAACGTACTGGATCGGGGAACGGGTCAGGCGCGGGCAGGTCACTTTATGCGTGAATCTTGTTCAAATTCCCACCGCAGAATTTTCGCCAAAATCGAATCTCCGAATTCAGGACAAAAAAGGCAATATCCAGCATACTGTACTACCAGGATCTCCTGCTCTTCTTCTGAATTTTCCTCTTCCTGCTGTTGGACGCCAATTGAGAGTTCCAGTTTTTGAAATTTCTGGAGTGTTTTTGCTGATTCGCTTCCCAGTCTGACCCGCTTCTCGGTTCAATACGTTACCGTGGTGACTGGAATTATTGAATCTCACATTATGGCGTCCTGAATCCCCACCCTTAGATTAGGGGGTGACTACGGAAAAGACTGGCGTTCAGCCCTTACCCGGGACAAACAAAAAGGCAACACCAACCTCCTAGCCTGCGACCCAATTATCACGGCTTTTACGGTAAATGTTAGATAGTCCCCGGGCAACCCAGACACCCCCTGTGTACTGAATACACACAAATAACTTTCTAGAGGTCCACCCTGATGAGCTGTGGTAGCCGTACTGATCACTGTTTGTTACTTCATATGAAACCCCCAATCAGCATCTCTTCTGACTGGTCGGGGTGGGCCCGGGGGGAAGGGGTGCCTAGGCAACAACTGATGACTACCCCCCGTCCAGGACTCTGTGCTACGCTTGTAGTGCCTACGGTAGCCCACTTCTAGCGAGCAAAGTTCTTCACATACAGGGCTTGCCCACGGGCCACGGAAGCAACTAGATTCCCATGGTATCATTGTGAGGCTTAGGCCTTTAGGTAAACTCAACTTTTTATATCCACCCCCATCCGAAATATAGTGGAAGATTCTAACATTATATTACTATATTCCAGTTGTTTAAGACCCGCAATGGCCGTTCAAGATAGACACATACACCCTACCCATCAAGTCTCACAGTCTACCCTTGTTGCTCGTCGCTGCACCTCCGCATTCCGGATTCTTTACTCCGGGGTGCCCGTGTGAGGAATGGCTCCCCGGCTAATCCGCCTGTTACCTTGATCCGTTTGTGGGGCGCGCACACGGGCCGCCGGGAAGGTGATGGCGGACATGGTCGGTTGAGGGTTTGGATGTACCACACCGGAGGAGGGTTGGCTGCGTCCGCCGAGCCAGCACGACCCACAGGAATTCGCGGGTTTTGGAGGCAGCCCCGATGCCACTGTCGCAACAGGCTCCCGAGGAAAAGGATAACCCTTAAAGAAAGCTCTTGCTTTAGCGTTTTTCTCCCTCTTGGACCGGCAGAGACCCAACCTGGCCACCTCCCTTTCCTCCCCTCAACATCCACTGTGAGTTTGTTTCCAACCACACCGAAATCTACAACTCTCTACGCACCCTTTACTGTCTGCACATCGTTTTATTGTCAGCTATGGGGAAAAACTCGGCAGGTCACATGGTCAGAAGACTGCGAGGCCTATTCAGGCCAAAAGCCAAGCCCATCCCTCGTTCTCCATCCCCTCTTGCGGCTCCGGCTCCCGCTCCTCTGGTCTCTAATCCGTCTCCCGCGGCCTCTGTTCCGCAGACCCCCCCGGATCCTCGCAAAAAAAATAGATCTGGGCAAGAGACCAAGAGGGATCAACCTCACGATAGAGCTTTGCTAGATGAAGAGGTTAAGGCGTATGTGACTGCTGCTTTATCGCTTCTTGGCACCATTTTTCAATTTGGGTTTAAAATCTGACTTGCTCCGTCACATAGCTCCATTGACGCCATGGAAAAGATGCTGCTTGCGATGCACAACATGAGCCTTCTCACGCCCCTCATGTCGGGCAGCAGCAGCGAATTGTCCGAGGCAATGACAGAGTACGGCCGGGTATTCCAGAAGCGCTCGCGTGCTGATCCAGATTCAAGCGTCGATCAAACGGAAGACAATGCGCGTTTTAGATGCTATTCGCATGCATCCAAGTTCTGGGATGAGATGTCTACCATGCAAACGGCAGTTCACGAGACTCTTGTCAAAGACTACGAGTACCTAAACCGTCAGGTTGCAAACTTCTTTAAGCTTCATTCCTCCGACAACGTTGATGACCGTAAGGTCATCGAAGAATATGATAAAATGCTAGACAGAGTCGAGAAGGTAGCTGGTTTTCGCTTTCCACCAGGCCTAGAATGTTTTAGTGGCCGGGTACAGGAGGACGCACGCCGAAAGCCAGAATATCGTAAGCATTTGCGGACCAGGCCAGGGCGCATCCGGCTCCCGCACAGAGTTTATCCGGTGTCGGGCTTCGCTCATGGGCGGGAACCTCCTTCCCTTGAGAGCCCCGCGATGTATCCTGGAGCTTTTCGTCCCCATTGGGGAGAACTAGACGTTAAGGCAAGCCAATTACTACGTGAGGCCAGCTCCGGTGATAAGAGGTTCGAAACTTTACTTGAAATGCGAGACAACCTTATGATGTCGTTCGCGAAAAAACACAACGATGCTCTTCGCGGCCTGGAGACGGATTTTTTGGCTCGTGTTGCCGTTGGGCTTACAAACACTGGTTTTGATAGATTGAAAGATGCCTATCGTAAAGCGGATGAATGGGCTTCTGTGGTTGGACTTCAGACGTATGCGGAACACCTTCGCATCGGTGGAGCCCAGGCAGAGGTCTATGAGTCTCTCGTGTCAAACCCTCCTGGGCCTGGGCCCATGAGTGCACTGGAACTTATGGCTGATGAGTGGAACCCTAATTATCAACGTGGATTTGGCGTTGATTACTCGGCGGATATTGCCGCCAATTCCGACTTAGGTAAAAATCTTTCCCCAGGACCATTCCCCGAAAGCTTTATTGGAGAACGTGCAGAGGACGGAGATAATGAATCCGACTCCGAGTCCGACGATCCTGGCTCAGATGATTCAACCGGCCCGAGAGGTTTTGAGCCGGGGCCAGGCCCCCCTGGCGGTAACAATCCTCGGCCACCCGGTGGCAACTCAGGGTCTAACTTCGCTGGAGGACCTAGTACTGGCGGGTACTCAAATAATTCCGCGGGAGGGGCGGGAGGGGCGGGAGGCAGTAGAAATTCTGCCAGTAGCAATTGCCTCCCAAGCTATACCGGCAGTGGGAGTTCATATGAAGGAAACCGGCGCTTTGCCGAGGGCTTGCAAGCGGGTCTTTCGGGGCAGATTATTTATGAATCATCCGACAATGAATCTCCTTCGATGGGTTCTGATTCGTCTTCTGGATCCAACCGTGATTCCGTCCTGAGCAGGAGCTCTCTTAGCACGACCCAAACCTCCCTTGGAAGCGCTGATGACCTCTCTAAATCCCCAAAGGGATCCTCCCCGGGTAGATACGCTCTGACCATTGCCCAGCCCGTTCCCGGGGTTGGTGTTACACCTGTGTCCCCAGAGGCTGACCCCGCCAAGAAAAGTGGAAACCGGAAACTGTGCGGTACTACCTTTGGCATCACCGAAATGCCCATGGGTTCAAAGACTGTTGAGGGATCTGGAGGGGCTCAAGCTCAAGATGCTTTCGTTTGTCCCTTTGATAATCCCTTTGAGGATACCCCAATGGCACTATCTACGCTTGTTGAGGACTCCGATGAAGATCCCGCAGACGACCATAGGGCAACACGTACCGGCCGTAAGCACCGACATCTCAGAAGGGTCCCACGCTTTCTCATCCTACAAGGCGGCAAGCTGAAGGTGTTTGGGCGCTATAATTCCTACGCCGGGACCGGCCTTAAAACCAAATCCCCAGCCCGGGGCCTACATCCTCTTAAAGGCTACCAACGCCTTAGCTCCTCAATGAGCCTTCCAATCCTATCAACTTGTGACGCAGTTCCTAAGTCAGCTGGCCCCTTGAGTTGCCCTGGGGGCAATGACTCCACTACTTCTGGACCCGCGAGCGGCCTGTTCTACAAAAATGCTGGCGGCCAAGCCACCGGCACAATTCCCCAATAAAACTCAATAGATTTCCGCAATGTGAGCGACAGTCCCGAAATATGACCCTCCTTATTTTCTAATCGCATCTGCTAATCCTACATTTGCGTCCGGATTACTCTAGGCTCTGCTCTCTCCATTTCTTGTCTTTCTTCTGCCAACTCGCCATGGCTTTTTTTTCTTCTTTCTTTCCCTGGGGGATAGACATTGTGGGCTGGGGTGGCGATAGAGAAAAGCTCAGAGATAGGAGAGATAGGGTGGTACTGCATCGGATTGGGTCGAAACGGGTAGAGGGGGGAGGCTTTATTAACTAACCTTATTGCTTGTGATTCGTCTTGGAACTTATCTGCTGGGGGTAGTTTGTATGCTGGAGCTTCTTGGTGTGTAGACTAGACTTAGTGAATCAGGTTCTAACCCTTTTGTTCTGGGTTGCGATGTCAGATGGACGGTCTCGTAAGTCGTGTAATTGCCCATAGTGTTTAGAGCTTTCAGTAAAGTAGCTGCCACATGTTCCCTCCTACGTTCTCCCGTCCAACCCAATCAATAGTACAATGTATCCGGCCTGGGAACCCCGACCCCGTAAACCCTGGGACAAGAGCCTGGGGAGTTTCGCGCAATCTGCACGCACCGCTCCCCTTTGCACGCGTCGGAGCGAGGATCTGCAGCGAAAATGGCCATCATATTGGGACCCGAAGGCTGCCTTATTATTTGCCCGCTCATTTATCGATCAGGCATTCTAAGCCTGCCCAGCCAATCAGAGGTTGTCTCTGCCCTCTAGTCAGCCCATTGACACCCCGGAATGATCGAGCACCGCATACGGCCACAAATTGTGCACAATCATCCCCCCCACCCCCGTGCTCTTTGTTAGGGATTTTTGAGAGATTAAGTAAGAACTGGCGTGTGTTATTGGGCGAAAGGGTACTTAGACTAACAGACGTTTCAAAAAGCCCGCTGATTGAGGGTGGTAAAGTTGCATGAAATTCCGCCAATAGCGGTTTCGGAAGGTGGTCAGTTCAGATTTACGTAAGAAACATGATCTCTCGGGCGCAGTAGTTGAGATGCGGTTCCACTATCTTCGTTTCCGGAACGGGGGGGTATCGTCATTTTGGGTGTCAGTTGTTTCCGACCACAATTACCATCCTCACGCTTGGATGGGCGCGGTTCATCTATTTATGCATTATCAATAGACCGACACGAAGAGAAACGGGGGTTTCCACCTTTGGGACACACGACACACTGAACAGATCCATCCGGGCAGTGGGGGTACTGCTTGGGGAGAATGGGTTAGGGTTTGGGATTTACAGCGCGAGTGATACCATGTGACCCCATGAAGCCCCCGAGGGTAAAGGTTTTAAGTAATTGGTTAGCAGCGAATTGGGGAGTGTACAATCCTTTTTGTGAGCGAGGTGTGTACATACAGCAGCTCCTTCGTGCCTTCCGATCGTCATGTGAGTCGTGAACGCGATGCGTCCTTGTGACATTATACGTCTATCCCCTAGTTCATGCTAGATGTTATGGGGCAGTAGATATAGGAAATCCCGACCATTTCCTCATTGATCCATTTCATATTTGGTTAGTTTTTTCGGGGTTAGCTGGTTTTTCGGTCCATTCCATGCGATACGTTATGGGAGGGTAATCCCAAAGTAACGGGGATATGACAGTGTATTTGACCATCCAGGATTACACGCTGTATCCCACCACACCCCTGATAAGCTGGTGGGGGACTCGTGCCCTCTTAGGAATATTTTCGCCATCAGCGACTGGAGGATTCGCACGGGGCAGGGCTGTTTGTGGGTTCTAGTTCGTCGTCCAAACCCGTCTTCCCTCCATCATTACTATCCCTCCAGTCATGGGTTCTCCCTTCCTCTCCTCTCTCCCGATGCCGCTTGGACCTAGATTAATCACTGCCTTTGCACCTAGGACGATCTCCTCCACATCACGGGCTAGGCTGACAGCTCCCTCCTATTCGCCCTACAGCCGAGGATTTTCTATTCGATCTCCCTGCCGTTGGGCAAAAAGCACCTCCCCGCTAGGGGGAAGCTGTCATCCAGCACGAGCCCACCGGGGGGGCATTTTTTTTAATACCCCTGGGCACGGGAAAGGATCGGAGGGGGTCACCTGCCGTGAGTTTACTTCTCCCCGGTGACGTTTTCCCTCCCCGGTGTGCATTTCCGATTCGGTTTGGGATACACTATTTGTGGTAGGGATTGGCCAACGCTGAAAAATCGTGGCCTGTGCGATTCACTGGTCCCGATATGCGGTGCCATCATTCTGCACTATGCTCGCACAAGGTCGACGCAAACCGTCAACGGCCGCTGGGAGATCTCTCCCGTGCCCAGCGCTCCAACATCGGAACTCTAGGTTGGTATCAATATACGTGGTCCACTGAAAAGAAGACCCATTGTTAGCATTAGTTCCGGCACTGAGTCGACCTCAATGACCACAAACCTATCATAGCACTCCACTGCCCGAAAACAAACAAGTTCGGAGAATTAAATATAGTGCTTGGATAAGTTGTAAATCCACCGCAACTTCCCCTTATACTTATCCTTCTCACTGAGCTTCGTTCTAGTCTACAATTGGGAGCAGTGCGTATGATAACCCAAGGAGGAAAAAAAAAAAAATTCTCTATCTCGAACTAACTAACTACAGGTTATAGCTATTCTGGATACAACTTCAGCTTAGTGCTTTCTGCGTTGCATTCACCTGCCTTGTCCCCTCTTTGATTTGAGCTTGGTCGTATCATAGCAAGCTGCCGAGACACAATATAGGCGTACCTTATCACACTGAAGAATGTTTGTACCACCGTGGCCATTACATGCAAGTACACAAAAAAAAAGGAGAGGAGAAAATAAACGGCAGGGAGGCTATTATTTAGATGGGCACTCAGAGGAGCGCTGCTTTGTTTTTTTGTTCCTCCTCTTGACGCTTCCTCAACTCCGGTTTTTTAGTAATATACTTCTTTCCAGAGGACTAGTAAGGTATCATACCCCAGGAGACTCTTACAAACACTAGCACCACCACTACTGCTCCGGACGCTATAGGATATTGTTCCTCTCAACATAATGGCCAATTCCCAGCCTCCTTCAACCTACCATCACCACCAATATAAAAGAAAACGGCCCTTTATATATATATATATATCTACAGACACAAGAGGTTGTTAGCCTCTGTTTTTTCCCCCGAATACCACTTCACCCGACTCGTACACATCCGCCGGTCCCACTATCACACAGTCAGAATATAGTAGAACAAAATAGCAACGCTCTCCTTCTCCGGACTTTTTTCCCTCGGAATGCACTTAAAAATTGCCCCTACCCCCTACGGGCTACAATTCATTCATTCATTTTCCTTCTCTCAAGTGTTTTTCTATAGATGCAAAACGAATACTACAGTATTGTGGACCGGGACCGGACACACCCACACCGTATTACGCCAGTGCCTTCCAGGTGGTCCATTTAGTTCCGTGATAGGCCGCCTTTTCCCACGGTCTAATCTGGCTCTGCGCAGATGGAACCCTCATGTCCCGGAACTTGTCTCTTGTTCACCTCTCCCCTTCCCTCCCCCTCAAGCTAACAGATAGGATAGGATGGGGAAAAAAGAAAAGAAAAAGTTAAGCTATCAAGTTGTTGGAGGCACCGGCACTGCTAGAGTAAATCCACCTGCTCATCCAGTGAGCACCAATCGACACACTTGCTACCTTTTGGAGTAAAGAAAAAAAAAGCCCCAAGCAAGAGATAAGTCAAACGAAGTATTTCTATGCTCGAAAGGGCTACTCGTTTTCATTAAATTTTGCTTCTCAAGCCTACAGACAGAGATTCCACAGTGACCTTTATTTCGTAAAACCAGCTTTCCACCCCTTGACAAATGAATAGCATAACGGGATTGGCTTGGAGTGGCACATGCGTGTAGGGGAAATGGAAGGCAACTAAAGCAATAAAGCAAGGCTAGGGAAAGAGCAGAAGAGAAATAAAAAAATAAAAATAAAAAACGAAAACAACCCAAGGAAATACAGAATCAGTAATTTGTAGAAATGATAATCGCAAAAGCCGGGGTGGAGACTCCAATCCAATCAGATGCCACAAAATCTAGTCCGTCCCCTCTCTCGGCCACAAATTTGTTAATCTCAAGTCCCACACTCACTTTCATGAGGTTAGAACTTCCGTACCAGTCTTAATGCCAGTCCACCTTGCCACCCTTCTCACACCGTCTAATATTCCGTCGTTTTTCCCCCCCTCCTTTTCTCTCCGGCAGTCCTTCGAAGGGTTGCCGTCATAGCGGTTTCTATCAATGAGCCCCCTCATTCCCGCTCTTGATAGTGCACCCTCCGCACAACTGAAATGAGCAGGTGTTGCAACGTTTCATAGTCCTCTTATCTCTCTTGTTGCAAAGATCACACTTTGCGGTAGCCACGGTGATTTGCGTAAAGTCGTCAGCAGAGCAAGGCAGGCAAGGCTTTGACTTGATTGGTGGCATCTTGCCCGGGCACTTGGTTGGGCTGTTTGGGTGTGTAGTAGGAGCGAACGGGATCAGACGCTTTGTGTAAACGGCAAGCGAAGACAGCAGGATGCAATACCGGACGGCAGGTATTTGCTAATCTTGGTGTGCTGCAATGCACTACTTCCACCGCCAGTGCCTCTAGAATTGGACAGAGGATGCGGAAGACTCGCTGCTATTGGGCTAGAGGAGATTGTAAGTCAGTCAATCAAGTCGTAATCCGATCAATCGAGATGGGGATGCCTTGTTCTATGCTCTAGCCTTTTTATTGGAGGGTGTAAGAGAAAAATAAATAAATAAATAAATAAACCGGTATTTACCTCTATGAAACGAATGACACTTTGCAACCGTTTTTCCCAGAACCGCAGACCCAGCGTCTTGGTTTCAGCGCGTTGAGGATGAGTGTAGAGGGAGTAAACAAGAGGCGATGCTGCTGGAAGTGAGAATATATAGCTTGACGGGAGGGGGATTACTCTATCGTTTGCCATTGCCACACCTCCCTCCTCCCCCCCCCCCTTCCTACC